ACTGAGGGCATTAAGTTTTCAGATGTCATAAAGATAGGTGGAGGAACAGGTAGTATTGAGGAGCTACGGAGGCTGCAGAAGAACTTGGAGAGACTAGGAGAGTAGGGCAGATGGAATATAAATTGTGGAAAAGTGTGAGGTTATGCACTTTGGTAGGAGTAATAAAGACACAAACTATTTTCTAAACGGGCAAGGCTTCAGAAATCTGAAGCATAAGGGATTTAGGAGTCCGAGTTCATGATTCTCTTAAAGTTAACATGCAGGTTCAGTTGGCAGCTAGGAAGGTAAATGCAATGTTGGCATTCAATTTGAGGGTAGGATACAAAAGCTTCATCAATGACCTTCCTTCCATCATAAGGTCAGAGATGGGGATGTTTGCAAACAAATACACAATGCTCAGCATTATTCATGATCCCTCAGACAGTGAAGAAATCAATGTCCACACAAGACCTCAACAACTTCTGGACTTAGGCAGTTGAGTGGCAAACAACTTTTGCGCCACACAAATGCCAGACAATGGCCATCTACAACAAGAGGGGATCTAATTGTTATCCCTCTTCCGTTATGTTGATGAATCCCACACTATCAACATCCTGTGGCTTACCACTGACCAGAATCTGAATTGGACCTACCACACTGTAGCTACAAGAGTAGGTCAGAGGCTAGGAATTCTGCAGTGAACAACTCAGTTGCCACCTCCCCCTTGCCTGAATGCTATCTACAAGGCACAAAACAGGAGTGACACAGAATACTCTCCACTTGTCAGAATGGGTGCAGTTACAACAACACTCAAGAAGCTTTGAAATCATTCAGTACAAAGCATCATGCTTGACTGACAGAGATAGTAGGAACTGCCAATGCTGGAGTCTGAGATAATAAGTGTAGAGCTAGATGAACACAGCAGGCCGGGCAGCATCAGAGGAGCAGGAAAGCTGACGTTTCGGGTCTGGACCCTTCTTCAGAAAATGCTTGACTGACAACCTACCCACCACAGTATATAGTTAGCAGTAAAGTGTACAATCTGCACGATGCACTGTAGTAGGTCTTGAAGACTCCTTTGACAACAATGTTCAAACCTGAGAAGGATAAGGGCAGCAAATACATGTGAACACCACTACAACCACCACTTGAAAGTTACCCTGCAAGTCACATGCCATCCTATTTTGGAACTACATTACCATTCCTTCAATGTCACTCAGTCAAAATCCTGAAACTCCTTTCTAACAGCACTCCAGATGCCGCTACAGCTCAGGGATTTTGGCAGCTTAAGAAGGCAGCTCACTTTACCTGCTCCCTAAGTTAGGCATAAACAAATGATGAGCAACACCTCATCCAGCATTCCCTCCAAACTTCATGGCTGCACAGTCGCTTGAAGGGTCAGCATGCCAAAGCCATTCACAGCATTGACTTCCAGTTCCAGAGACAGAACTCCTGACCTTGGAGGTCTGTGCAGAAGATAAAAAATATCAGGAACATTGCCCACATCATATGAATAAATTTAAAGAATAGGTCATTAATCAACTTCTCTTTGAAATCTGGTCAAAACAGTACCAGTTCCCGATCACATAATTGAGGAGAGCATTATCATTGCTTTTCCACTTGTTACTCCTTACTATACATAGTCTATTTTCTCTCTCCTCAAACGTTCTGCAGAATTCCTGGTGGTGTGTTTTTGTTACTGCTTGTACCAGACAAATCTACGTTAAGATGTGGTGACAGCAATACATTTCTTGAGTGTCAAATAGGCCTAGCCTACCATCTTGTAAAGTTGGTACATAAAAGCAAAGTATTATGTTGTTGCTCTGCAAATTAGACTTCCATAAGCATTAACCACAACTACAAATTTTGGATTTGGAACATCAGACATTCAAAGATATGGTCACACTATGGCATGAATTTTCAATGAGATGTGAAGGCAATACTGGAGATAGGTGGGCCTGCAATCTCTCGCTACTAGTCAACGTGGCAGTCTACCACATTGGTTCTTTCTCAGGTATTATTTACTGAGGGTTGATGTGAACTATTATGTTTACCTGCCCACAAGAGGTAACCAATTCAACTGTCGATGGATGGAGCTTGTCAGAAGTCATGTCAAATTTCAGACATTAGGTAGGACCCCAGTGAGGCCAAAGCCCAGCTGACCAATTAAGATAGCAGATTGAGAAGGGTCAATCCAATCACAGTGGCTCAATAGTTGGCACTGCAGCCTCACAGTGCCAGGGACCCAGGTTCGATTCCACCCTTGGGCAACTGTCCGTGTGGAGTCTGCACATTCTCCCCATGTCTGCGTGGGTTTCCTCCGGTTTCCTCCCACAATCCAAAGACGAGCGGGCTAGGTGGATTGGCCATGCTAAATTGCCCGTAATGTTCAGGGATGTGTAGATTAGGGGAATGGGTCTGCGTGGGATGCTCTGAGGGTCGGTGTGGACATGTTGGGCCGAAGGCCTGTTTCCACACTGTAGGGATTCTATGATCTATGAACTGTTCAATTACAGTAACTGAAGGCTATCCTATAGATTCCCCTTCCATAATAACATTCCGACAGCTACAGCACCATTTTTTTTAATGCTTAAGAAATTCCTTCACAAAGTGCTTGCACCCTGAATCACCCTTTCATTCCCTTACCTACATCTACACCTCCCAGAACTAATACAGGGGCTGTCAATCGTAGTTCTGCAAGGCCTCCTATGGACCTTCCAACTTTGGGAGCACGCCCTTTGTCAGTTAGACAGGTCTCCCAGACACAGCAAGTGAATTGAACTATTTCCTCAAAAAAGGTTCCAGAGCTGGGTGTGGGTTTGAGAGACCAGGAAACAAAAATTCAACCCTATATTCTTCCTTATAAGAATAAATGCAGCATGCTTCAATAGCAGTGTTGGTTCAGAGTAAATCTTACAGTCACAACGTTAACTACATCTCTGACACACATAAACATAGAAGACAGAAGGAGTAGGCATTTGACCCCTCAAGCCTGCTCCACCATTCAGTATGATCGTGGCTAATCATCAAGCTCAATACCCTAATCTTGCCCTCCCCCCACATACCTCATCCTTAAAACCACATAATATTTTGACCTCTACCAATTTCTGTGGTAATGAAGTCCATAGACTCAGCACTCTATGGGTGAAGAAATTTCTCCTTGTCTCAGTCCTAAAACACTTACCCCTTATTCTTTAAACTATGATGCTTGGTGCTGGACTCACCCACCATTGGGAATATCCTTCCTGTCTAGTCTGGCTAGAGATTTATAGATATCTATGAGATGCCCCTCATTCTTCTGAACTTCAGCAAATACAATCCTAACGACCTCAATCTCTCCTCAAATGGCAGTCAAGCAATCTGGAAAGCAGTTTGGTAAAACATCGCTGCACTCTGTCTTTTTTCTTTCTCTCCTTTTCTTCATCTTTGAGCCAAAGCAGTGTTGGCAGAGTGGTGGCTGGAGCATTGGTGGTGTGGATCAGGACTCCCGGCAGCGATAGGCATGGAAACTCGATTCCTGGTGGTGGAGGTAGGTCCAGAGTTTGGGCTGCTGGCGGTGTGGACGAGGCAGTGGCGGAAGCAGAGCCAGGGTCTCCTGGGTCATTAGCATTGCTGTTCCTACAGCAGGACTCCTTGAGGGCTGGAACACCTTGCAGAGACCTCGCAGAAGCCCTGAAGTTGTGCTTGAGACCCCAATTTGAACAGAAGATGCATTTTCATTTACGTAATTTATTCCTACCTCATTATAACTCAAAACGGCACTGGATTGTGGCGACAAAACACTTTTCACTGTATCTTCAAAATATGTGAAAATGAATCATTCATCATTATTCTCTCTATTGCAAAAACATCCTTCCTCAGGTAAGGAGACCTAATCTGCACACAATGTTCCAGGTTTGGCCTCACAAGGCCCTGTATAATTGCATCAAGTCATCCTTGTTCTTGAACTTGAGTCCTCTCACTATGAGAGCCAACATACAGTTTGCCTTTCCCGGTGTACTTGTGCACTTACTTTCAACAGCTGGTACATGAGGACACCCAGAACTTGTTGAACATTCCCCTCTCTCTCAAAATACAGCCATTCAAATAATCATCTGCCTTCCTATTTCTGCTACTGAAATGGATGAACTCACATTTATCCCCATTATACTGCACCTGCCATGCATTTGGCCATTCACTATCCAAATCACACTGCAATATCTGTATATCCTCTTAATAGCTTATCATTCCACACAGCAGTGATATCTGCAAATTTTGAAATAGAGTTCCCTAATCTAAATCATTAACATATATTGTAAACAGCTGGGAGTCATAGTACCGATCTCTGCAGAACCCCAATAGTCACTGCCTACCATTCAAGGAAAAAAAACTATTTATTGCTACTTTTTGTTTCCTATCTACTAACCAATTTTCTGTCTATCTCACTACAATACCCCTAATCCCATGCACTTTAGTTTTACACATTAATCCCATAAATGGGACTTTGTTGAGAGCCTTCTGAATGACTTCTTCCACCGGCTCCTCCTGATCAACTCTATTAGTTACAAGAGTGAGAGAGAGCGCATGAGATTCAGAAAAATACTGCTGTTCAGGTTGCTTGCTCCATGTAATTGGGGTTCGAGAAAATGTTCCAAGGGCAGATGGATGATCTAGGCTGTTGGAACTCATGTGAGGCCATTTGATGTTGATAAGTGTTGCAGTATTTTCTCAGGCAGCTAAGTGAGACATTAGAACATGATAGATTCCCCATTCCATTACATACCATCTTGTGCTCCACTTTCTTGTTGTTTATACACATTCTATTAAGTTTGGGATTGATTAGCCTTGCAAAACTAAGGAGACCAGCCATCTATAATCTTGATACCTATCTAGTAATACCACTTATTTTTGGGAAAAGAAAACTGACATTATCTTTCTTTCCCCCAATTAGCTTAATTCTGATGTCTTGGGTAACTCTTGAAATAGGAATTTTTGAAGTCTTATGGAAATCAACTCTTCCAGATTTGTCTGACAATACTTGCCTATTGTGGGTATGAATGAAGCATGGAAATTGTCCTCAGTTAATCTCTTTAATATGGCAGTTTTACCTACATTGGAGTCTCCCACCATAATCACTTTTGAAAGAGCATCTCCAGACAGGTTGGCATCTTGCATTTTTAAAGCCAGTAGAGTCACAGACCAAACATCCTTCCACTGAAATTCACATACTTTTTCAGAATTCAAATTTGAATATGTAATTCCTTTATATTAACTTGTCAAATGCATCTAACTTTAAACAGGCAGCTCTTGATTTCCAGTTGGATGGAAAAAGCCTCAATGAGCAAAGACATCCAAAAGCAAGCTTCACTTGTCTCGACGAGTTTTCACATTAGATGACATGAATTGAAACAGACAGGATGACGATCAGTTGGTAATTGAGCTCAATCGAGTAAATGGGATTAAGTTCAATCAACAACCTTCGGATAATCAGTGGTGTTTTGATTCATAAATGGATAAGGCCCGTGAAAAAACAATGACTGACTGTCTCAATATATCTCTCAGATGTCTCAATGAACAACAGTTAGTTTCCTAATAGATAAGCCTTCGCTCACTTCCTTCTGGTACAGAAAAGCTGCAGAGCTTAATCCTATTCAGACAAGAGGGATGTAGTCCAACGGAAAAGTCTTGCTAAATGAGTCTCAATGAAATATTTTTAATTTTTTGCATGTACTGAACCGGCTTTAATGAGGCCAATCACATTCTGCACAACCCATGGCCAACTTAACGCCAACACTAATTTCTTCGAAATGTCCCCATGGATGGGATACCTCACAGCGGACGACCCACTCTTGATTCAAGTGATGCTTGAATATCTCTAGCTTCTAATACTGATGAAAATCGCAGATTTAATTCTCTTACAGAAATCGGTCAGACCTTGCCTCACACTCAGCTTGACCACTAACTTGAACAGAGCTCAACAACTGCTCATCCTTCATCACGCACTCCTTTCCGCCCATCAACCGACACCCGGAGCGCGCTCGCAATCTGACAATCAGGCACCGCCCACCGCCGGCACACCAATCAAAACACCAGCCCCGTGGGTAAGGACCGCCCATCACCACCGGTACACCAATCAAAACACCAGGCAAGGTCCGCCCACCGCTGCTCACCAATCAGAACAGCAGTTCTGACGGGGAGACACCGCCCACCACTGACCCACCAATCAAAACACCAGGCCCCACAGGCAAGGACCGCCCACTGCTGCTGGCTCACTAAGCAAAACACCAGCCCCATGGGTAAGGACCGCCAATCACCACCGGTACACCAATCAAAACACCAGGCAAAAGTCCGCCCTCCGCTGCTCACCAATCAGAACAGCAGTTCCGACGGGGAGACACCGCCCACCGCCGGCCCACCAATCAAAACAAGCCTGGTGCTTTCTGAATGTCTTTTCGAAGGGCAGTGTTGTGAAGTATGTTGAGTAGACAGTGTGGGCGTGGAAGCGCATAGACCACCGCCCTATGGCCATTTACTCAGAATGGACATGCCTCTTCGACTGGCATACTAAATATAGGATATTTGCTACAGTTTTTATAATACCATAAACCTTTTGGGTCTTCACAGTTCTGAGTGTAAAGGTAATCAGCATCTTGTTAAAGGGATTTTTGAAATTGAGCCTGTCATCCCATTTAATAAACTTAATGCAGTTGTAATAGGAGCATAAGGAATAGCAGTAAAAGCAATTCAGGGTGATAGTGATCTAGAGGTGGTATTGCTAGGCTTTTAATCCAAAGACCAGGTAATTTTCTGGGGAGAGTTAGTAGGAACTGTAGATGCTGGAGAATCTGAGATACCAAGGTGTAGAGCTGGATGAACACAGCAGGCCAAGCAGCATCAG